ATACTTGGAGACAGAGATCATCAGGTACCATCTTAGAGGATGCTTGCTTACTACAGGGGTTACTAATAATTAAGCCGGGCCAACAGTCATAAATGAGGACTTGCGTGCATGCTCAGTGGCGTCATACTCCTTGCAACCCTGTGGACTGTGGCCCACCAGGCCCTCTGTCCATGGGATTCACCAGGCAAGAATACTGGAGTGGGTTACAGGGCCCTCCTCCAGGGTATCTTCCGCCCCCCGCCCCACCCCCACCCCTCAGGGAACAAATCCAGGTCTCCTGTGTCTTCTGTGTTGTAGATGGACTCTTTACTGCTGAGCCACCGAGGAAGCCCATAAATGAGAACAGTCCTTGACAAATCAGAGTTTATACTCACCTGAACTTTATGTCTTGATTTACATTAATCATATCAGAAGCAATTTTCTATCTATAAAATTATTTAGTCCTATTATTAAGTCCCTAAAAATCCATGATATAATAACTGCCACAACACTGTTCTCACTCCCACCAGATCTCTCTCATGATATTGCTGGAAGCCATCAGCAGTCAACAACCAACAGCTTCTCAACCAGCTCTCTTTTCTACTGAAATCTGGATTGTTGCTCCTCTGGGTCCCTCGCAATTTCATCAGGCCCTTAAAGATCCATATATGTTCCTTCAACAACCTGATTGATTCATAAATAGTAAAACATTAATAATAATGGCTCCCCTCCAGGGGCCTTGCAAAACATTAATAATATTGAAAATAAAGAATTTATTAATCTAAATAGGTCTTAGTAAGACTAATCCTGAAATTACAACCATGATATTTTCTATGACAGATCAATCTACTGGGAGAGGAAAGCACTAAAATCAAAACAGAATTTGCTAATAATTAATGGTAATGCCTACCCTGAGCATTTTCCTTCAACAGTTATGTTGGTCATTGTGCTATCTTAGTAATTTTCAGTGAACTTGGCTGTGGTGCTTAAGTCAATTCTAAGTCACTTTCTGAGTTTTAAAACAAGAACTAAAGCAAAGGGGACATCAATATTATAGTAAGTGGCATTGTACTCTTATTCATTAGAACTAAGTTAAGTAAACCAATTGGATCAGAAAAACAATCTTTTCCTTCCAATAACCATTAGAATAAAGGCAACAAAAAATTAAATTTGTCTACATTAGGATTATTTGGGAGAAACTCAAATTATTCTTTTTTACCCTGTTTACTATCTGTTCAGAAGTGAGCTCATTAAAGCTGGAGAATGTAGTGGCTATATCAAATATAGCAATAAATATCATATCAGAGTCACAGTGATAATCTGGGAGTCAAGCTTAAAACCAGAGTTTTTCATTCATGATTCAGTGCTGCTGGTAAACTGAAAAGACTGAGAGAACAAGCAGAGGCTGTATCTCCTTCCTCCTAATTGTTTGTTCAACCTCATGACCAGGCAAGTCAGGGAATGACTCTGTGAAGAATGAAAACGACTATAAACTTCCCATCAAAGTCAAGCAAAAAACAATGAGCCAGAGGGAATGGAAATAAAGCATTTCAGGAATGTCTATCATGATTCATTACTTACTTTCAACCAATTTCCAGGACATCTTGACAAGCCCTGTTAGTAAGGATAAAGGAAAGTAACTGCTTGACCAGGGTACATTAAATTGCTCTCCTTCTTCCTCCTCAGATGTGTTAGGGAAACAAGTGAGTTGCTATTTCCTGACTTTTTTCCCCTGTTGATGATATATCTTCCCATCATTTATAAGCTCAGGTCCTTTTTCTCATTTCAGTTTTAAAACAAACCTCCTGCCAGCTAAAGCTGACTTCGCCTTGCTAGAGGCTGGGTAATTCCTCTAGGCAGTAGAGTATCTCATTAGTTACTTGGAAGCTATTTTCCTTAGTGGAGTCCTGTCAACAAATTTTTTTCCTTGCTCATCTATTCCCCTCCAGTTCAGGGACCACTATTGATTTACCCTAAGTTAAGTCAATTTACTCTGAAATTTTTCTAGCTGTGATTTGGGAATATGCATTCAGATGCACAGAACACTCATCATGAATCACATCTACATGTCTTTAATCTTAAACCTTTAAGCATCTGCTAAGATTATTTCTGCTTCTCTCTTGTTTGTAATGCACACATATTATTTAATACAGAAATAAATTGCAAACCTTCTCTTTGTCTATAAGTGGTCAAAGATGAGATATTCCTATGCCAAGAAAATGTTTTCTTTGTTTATAAACTGCATAAAGGAAAAGAGTATTCACTCCTATTTGAAAGAAACTGAAAACTAACCTTATTCCTTAGACTATGTTTTCTAATTAAGCTAAAAGTGTTTCTTTTCTAGTCTGTTCTAAATTGTCTGGTCTTTCTGTCAGATTTCCTGGACTTTATAATAATATAGCTTGTTCCTACACTGAATTTCTGATTTATAGGCACAAGTCTGATAAAATTAGCTGCTGCCCATCAAACATAGTCCACTTTGCTCCTCACTTCTGGCTATCATCAGCTATACAGAATTGAAACCTGGGCATATAACACAGAAAGGGTGCCTTATGTTTTTGCATTTCCTTCTACTTGCACATTACAACTATTAGATTCATATAAGGAATACATAAGGAGTACCTGATATGTGCTGTACAATTAAAAGAGAGAGTCCTTTCTCACCAGGCAAATAAAATTTCAGGAATTTTCAGTTTATTTTCTTTTCAATCTTTGTCCAGTGGTTTTCAAACTTTTTTGGTTTATCATTTTTTCAAAACTAATATTACTTAATATATGTTGTTGCTTAGTCGCTAAGTCATGTCTGACTCTATTGTAAATTCATGGTCTGTAGCCTGCCAAGCTCCTCTGTCCGTGGGATTTTCCAGGCAATAATACTGAAGTGGATTGCCATTTCTTCTCCAGGGGATCTTCCCAACCCAGGAATCGAGCCACCTTCTCCTGCACTGGCAGACAGATCCTTTACCACTAAGCCACCAGGGAAGCTTCCTATTTGAGCTTCTTGACACCACTGTGTTTCCATGCTCAGAGAGCAGGCATGGGTCCTGGCTTCGGGCAGGGGGTGCGGTGTGATGGGGGGACCCCCGTGGCATACCCAGGAGCGGCTGGTCATGGCTCGTCTAGCTGGCAGGCCACCTGGTTAAGTTTGTTGGTTTTGCTAGGCCCCCGGTCTTCCTGCTTCTCACTTCCAAGTCATTCNAGGGGATCTTCCCGACCCAGGGATCAAACCCAGGTCTCCCGCATTGCAAACAGACATTTTACCCTCTGAGCCACCTGGGAAGCCCTAATAATACATACTCATTATTAAGAATACAGTGGCAGCTACAACACAGTGGTCAGAACAGGAAAAATGCCTCCTCCTACATCACTGCTCATTATTGATCACTGTTATGCATATATCTAAACTACTCTTAAAAACTAATTTGGGCTGGCTTCATCTCAAGCTCTTAATCACAATAAAACATTTTTTCTCACTTCATCAATTAGTATATATTCATAGCCCGGAGTCTAATTTTTTTAGAAAAACAGTTAATTTCAATCCTTTATTTAAAATAAAAAACATTAACTGTTACCCCATGCTATGCTGGTAAAACATTAAACCCAAGCTCCCAAGGTATACTGCTTTTATATTACAGGTATTGATATGTGACCCTTACCATTATAGACCAATTAAAAGTGAAATTTTATGGTATCCCAGCATGCAGTATGCTTTTAAACATTTAAAAAAAAAATGGAGAGTGAAGAATAATGAATTACAAAGGCAGCTGAAACTATCAAAAAGTGCTTCATTTAAAAAGGCACTTCCCATAGTTGTGATTCAGATGTTGATGCTCAAAGCTAAATTAGTTTACAACTCAACTTCACTAAATTCCCTAATTATTCATTTATTACCATGTATACTGTTTAAAGAGGCCAAATACCCTCAAGGTTAATTGCTTTATTTTTGTTTTTAATATACACTAATTCCTTGAAACTGATGATCAAGTATATCGATAGATTTCTTCAGTAAAGAGCTTGGTTTTATGTTAGTTGGCCGACATATTTTGGAAATTTTTCCAAGAATATTCAGAAGTCATATACCTGTAACACCCTATGATTTATTATCCTCGTTGCACAATTATCTGATGTAAGGAATAGTGTGTTGGTTTGTCATATTTGTATAAAATAAGTAAAAACATCATTTTATCACAAGAGTGTCTGCTATATTAATGACTTTGCTTTTTAACTGCATATTTAATTTTTCATGATTTTGCTTCTCCGACTGCTTTAACCTCATATATGTACAAATTAGGTCTCTCTAAATGTTTTTGATATAGAGAAAGAAGATATGCAATGTCTCACATAAGCCATATTAAAATAGACACAACTTATATTATTATGCAAAGTAGCCTTACAATAAAATAAAAAGAACACAGAGTCATCCAAATTCTTTGAAAATACTGTAAGCCTTTTTCATGCAAGGATATGTCCTGAGACCTTCATAAATCCCAAATTTGTGAATATACTAAAGCATATTATTTCCTTCATAAAATTCAATGAGGTACAACTGAAAAATTTAGGTGATTACTTCAGACTCTTAATGATTCCATAAATAAAAGACTGGACTCATTTGTAAAACTATTAAAATGAGTTCTGCCTCTAAAATAAACTTACCATTACATTACATCATGTCATTACTGTAATAATATGACACAAAATTAACTGAGTATCTATAGTCTTACAGCTTCAATTGGACTTTGCCCAGGCATGCATAGCCAAGTGCTCGTGTGGGAGCTGAAATCCACCTGCCAGGCTGAGAATCAGGGATACAGCTGCATCAGGCCTGCATCAGCTTAGTGGAAAGGGTTACTTTTTCTAGTTCTTGCAAAGGCTCTATAAATTCCATTGATGATTCTTCTTCTCCTAACTTTGGACAAGCCAAAGGTGAGTAATAAATTACACAGTTAGAGACTAGAGTGTTTTTTCTAGTCTACCTGTTAGCACTACTGCTTAGAAGGAAACATGAAGTATCTGGGATCCTAGCCTGAAGGAAGATGTCTGGCTTACTCCTGTACAAGGATTCAGAACACCTGAGGCAGAGAGATGCATGGATTGTTCATCCTTCATGCCCCAAGGGAGGATGGGTAAATGAGTCACTCTATATGGTACCAGGTAACACAACTCACTGCCCCGCGCTGAAGAGGATGGCAGAACTAGAACAGTGCCTGGTATATTCTCAAAGATGGAATTTCCCAAAAAGATAATGCTCAATATAGGCCGTTTTTTTTTTTTAAAGGTTATCAAATTTTATGTATTTTATAAATATTTAATAAAGTTTTATATAGATGAGAAAGCTCAGATATAAACACGTTAATAATACACAGACTAAATTCTCTGAGATAATTCTGAGGAGTCTAAACCCAAGGGAAAATTACGCAATACAACTATGTCCATTTCAATCCCTATGACTTCTCCATTTTAAAAAGGTTAAGACGGGCGAAAAAAAAAAAGATGAAGGTTAAGATGATATCAGGATTTAACAAAATAATGAAGAATAAACTTGGCCTCACTGAAATTTTAACCCAATCTTTAGGTGGAGATGATTTAAGTTCATGATTTTTCACTTTTGACTGCTGAAACCTATTTGTGCATATAATCAGAAAGTCAAAAAGGTTTTCTACTGTTGTTACTTTTGCTATAATGACATAATCTGCTACCATGGTTTTAATTAGATAGGAATAAATCTATTTAAATTATACACTTAAAGCAAATAAAAAGAAGTCTAAAAAGGTCTATTACAATGAACTACTTGCTTAAAGTATTTTAAAAAAATATTTCTTCAGAACTAACACCAGATAGTTTTTTCAAAAATAAATATTGATAACTTACTTTCACATTTATGCTTTTGTCTTTTCTTGACAAAATGCATGATTTACACTGCCATAATTTCCCTTCTAAAATAAACAGCTTCACTGTTATAAACAGATGCATGATTTACACTGCCTTAATTTCCCTTTTAAAGTAAACAGCCTCCCTGTTATAAACAGATCATTTTAAAAGCTCTCCACTAGTGTGCATCTTTGTTCAGTGATGCTGCAGTGAGAGGCTACAGTGAAACCAGGACAAACACCCTCTCTAGGCCATTCTTCACAAAAGACAGCACCTATAGGACTTAGAGAAATGTATTCATAACAACAGGCTTAAGCAAGGAACCTAGAACCTCCTTAGGGCAGTAGGCTGTCTATTCCTCAGGAATAATGAATTTACCATTGTAAATATCAAATATACGTTCTTCAAAGTTTTTTTAAAAAGGGAAAAAAGAAATATTTTGCTTATGAAAAAGCTGTGTTAGGTGTGGCTGACGGACGCCCTGTTGCACATTCTCAGAGCACAGAGACCTGTAAAAGGAGGCTCACGTACTTTCTCTACTTCCTTGGGCTGGCGCTTTCCTCTCCGTGGATCCTTCCTCAGCACAGTCACCTACAGAGTTCAGTTCACCCTCACTGTGCGCTTCAGCAGACTCCGTCGTTTCGAGAGAAGGGCCTTCTTTCTGCATGCTCTGGGTGTCAGTGCATTCTTTCCTCTCCTCCCTGCTTCCTTTCAGAGGGCTGGGGTCTCCCTGTGGTCCCGTCCGGGGGACGAGTCCGCTGGGGGCGTGCAGAACGTCACCCCCAGCGGGGCGGGCATCGCCCCCACCCTGGGCCTCGGCCTGGGCACAGGGCCCGGGGGTCCCGTCAGCAGCAGGCATGCCCCCCGAGGTCCCGCCGCCCAGCCCCGCGTCTGCCCCGGAGAGCGCAGGCCTCTCCAGGCAGGGGCCGGGATTCGCCGTGGAGCAGGTGCCGACGGCGGGTCTGGGGCCTCTGCCGATGAGGGAGAGGTCAGCCCTGTCCAGGAGGCTGGTCCTCTCGGTCTTGGAAAGGCTCCTCTGGCCTCGGAGCGGAGGGGGGCTGGAGGGCAGCTGCTCCCCAAGAAGCCCCTCCGAGACCCTCTCCTTGAGATTGTCAGGAGAAAAGTAATCATCGTACGAGGACTCCTCGAGGGCCAGACTCTTGACAGCGGGCCTCCGCACAGAGCACAGGCCGCTCTCCTCCCATAGCCGCAGGCAGGCTACAGGGCGCTGCCGGAGGGACCGCCTCCTCTTCCGCCCCTCCTCTGAGGCTGGCCAGTTCTCCGGGGTCTTCCTTCTCTTGACGGAGGAGCCCAGGGCTTGTGCACGGCCCTCGGGGCGGCCTTTCGTAGCAGAGGACACAGGAGACAAACGCCTCTTCCCGTCAGACAGCCCCTGGGCCGCCGGCCGCGATGGCTTCGAGACGGGGGTGACAACCCCACCTGCAGCCCTGCTCTGCTGGGGGGTCTCTGCCTTGGGAGGACTGCTGGTGGATCTGGGAGGAGTCCAGAGACCCAGGGGACGGGGAGCTGCTGAGGGGCTGCCACGGCCTGTCTGCAACACCGGCGACGCAGCGCACAGATCACTTTCCCTCTCAGTGATGAACTCGCCCCGTTTTCTCTCCCGGGTCCCACTTGCAGAGCCTCCACAAGGATCGTCAGCAGACATGGGCAGACCACCGGCAGAAGAGTTATCTGAACACAAAGTATCATGTGAAAGGTTCAAAGATGCTTCACACAGAGAGTTCACAGTGTTATCATCAGGCTGTTCAATCATCTGGGAGGAGGTGGGGGAAAGGTTTTCCCGTTTCTCCTTCATCTCCTGCAGCCTCTTCTTCATTGCACTGTGGTGGCCCCTGTAGACCTTACCGGTCGGGCTGTATACCAACGAGCCATTAGATTCAAATAAGAGGACAGGAACATTGGTACCTGGTGAAATGATTAGTTCAACAGCGAGGCCCAGCGATGGCTGTGGTCAGGTTCCTGCAGTGACCCGTGCCCCTCAGCCACGGGCCCCGGATGCAGGAGTCAGCCGGCAGATGAGGCCACAAGCAGAGGCGAGCACCAAGGACACCCTGCGTCTCTCGGCTTACCCAGAGTGGTTTTCTGCTGCTGCAGCTCTTTAGCCATTTTCTCAAATTTCTTTTGAAGCCTTTTATCATTTTCTGGTGTCTTGGGAATAAAATCTTTGGGCTGCATACACTTGCGCAAAATCTTCACACAAAAAATTTAAAGGCACCACATCCAGACCCTTAAACTTCTGAAAACCAAAGATGAGAAAATTTTTCAACCCAAAGCACTGAGACGAGCTTCACACCTCTCTTCTGTGCTTTTTACCAGGTGCTCTGGTACCCGTCTTTGAACACCACATGAGTTACTTGTTTGTTAAAAGTTTTTGAAACCTTCGCCCCCAAATCCATGAGTTGACTCCTAAAGATCTTGGAGTAATTTACTGTCCCATTGGCTGACCACACTTCAACATACGCCACAACATCTTTTAGGACCGGGGGCAGCCATGACGGGAAGCGGGGACGCGCAAGCGTGACGCAGTGGTGGCAGCGCGCGTGCGCAGGGCCAATATAGGCGGTTTTATATTTGATCTATTTGAGAAATCACCAGGGGTGAAGCAGTGGGGAGATAGGAGGTCTCAGGTCTCCAAGGGAACTTCGGGGGAGGTATTCAAATAATGAAACTAAAAGAGTTTTCCCCAGGATAGGAAAAGAAGAAAGACTCAGCGTTCAGGTGCCCAAAGCACAAGATTCTTCTGCAAGCTTTGCCCATGGTACTAGGAAAAAAAGACTTGGAAGGCAGAGAACTAGGAGTCATTTGGCAAGGTTTGATCATGAAAAGAGCCAGGAGAGCTAGAGAATAACAAGTGAAGAAAACCTGAAATGTAATGAAGCTGGGGACAGACAAACCCTGTGCACTCCTGGCCTAAACCATTTTGACAGCAGGAATGAAAAAGCAACAGCTAACCCCACTGAAGGCAGAACTGTGCCAAATCTCAAGGACATCAGGGAGGACAAAATGAGAAGCTTCCCGCTTCCCCTCCTCTTTCTGCTCATGGGAAAGGGTGACAGTTATCACTTTGGTTGTTAAATCACTATTCCAGGAAAAATGATGTCACTCATATTAGAAGGCTAGAGAGAAACCTGAGGCAGATTATTTGAGGACTGATTCCAGGTTCTGGGTCCAGTCCTTGATGAAGGAGGAATGGAAGAAGAGGGAGGCCAAGAGTGGCAAGGAAACTTTTCTCACTTTTTTCAAGTAACTGTGCCCCCATACAAATAGGAGAAATGTCTGTAAGCTGCCAGAGATGCAGAGGCCCAAAGAAGCACTAAATAAATGCCAAAAGTTTCAAATGAAAGGAATATAATTAAAGCTAAGAAAACTCTATTTTACTGATGCTTTCTAAGCATAAATGAAGTTTCTAGGTAAATGTTTTTGTATTAAAATGCAGGCACCAAATCTTTTTCCCTGTGTCTCTGAGATTGCACTGAAAACCAATTGGTTTACATGTGTCCACAGGTTCTAAAACTTCCCTCAATAGGACTATATCTTTCCCTTATCAAAATCAAAAACAAGTTTTTTGAAATTTCTGCTTGGAATAGAGATATGTGGTATATATGGGGCCTCACCAGATGGACTGATTAGGTATTTGGTCTAGGTATATGGCACAGTGAAGATTTCTACATTCAATTATTTCCAGAATGGTTCACTTCCCCGTATATAATGAACTACAATGGTCTTGAGCAAATTAAACTAAATTGTTGATAAAAACATGATTGTTTTAAATTACTAACATTTCTATTTCAGGGATAGAGTGTTTTGACTTAGGCCAAAATCTCCGGACACTCAAGTCTCTTATATAAAATGATGTAGTACTTGCATATAACCTTCCTACAACCTCCTGTACACTTTATATCATTTCTAGATTACTTATAATACCTAATACAATGTAAATGCTATGTAAATAGCTGTAAATGTAATGTAAATGCTATATAAATAGTTGCCTGCAAGCTGGGAGGGGGATTGCAAATTCAAGTTTGGCTTTTTGAAACTTTCTGAAATTCTTTTTCTTTCCTGAATGCTTTTGATCTGTGGTTGGCTCAATCAAAGAGTCAACCAGGTTGGCAGAACTCAGAGATATAGAGGGCCAATTGTACAACTGCAAACAAAAAATGTTTTCTACTTGGAACTGTTTAGTATGAAAAATTTTTAATTTAAATTAAGGGTAAAAGATGTAATTTAAAAAAAGCAAAACTTTTTACTGCTGAGATTTTTTACCCTGTGCTCCAAACTTAAAACGGAATAAAACAATAAGCACTATAATACTGTTTGCTTGACTCTGTCATCCTCTAAATATTATTTTCTTTTTTTCACTGAGTCATTATGCAATTATCACAGAATATAATGTTGAAGATATGACCATTTTAGTTAAAATTGCATGCATATATGTATAATTTATATTCTGTACCATATGTTTTCTAAAGAAAATAAAATAAGTAATGGAGTACAAATAGAAAAAAAGCTGGGAAAGATATTAAAACAAAGCTTGAAGGCCAGCGTTTATCTTATTTTCTCTCTCATTATTATCTTTTGTTCAGTGTGCAGTGACTCTCTGAAACTAGGTGGTGAAAGACAATTCTCCATGGTCTCCTGCTTTTCTTGTGAGCAGTCACTGACAGCTTTTGCTCTGGACTACCTTTACAAGGATGCTTATATAGCAAACATGCTGTCCAATAAAATAGAGGTCTCCATCTAGGATGAAGTCTGGGCATTTTTGCTTATAGCTCCTTACAAAAGATTAGGATTTCTAAACTCACACTCCTCAGCTCTGATACAAACCACTGTCTATGTAGCATCCATCTACACATATCTCCATGTAACCACTGTGAGATCTGGGAGATAAGGGGAACTGAGGCAAACACGAAGTTCACAATGACAGCTGTGCTGTAACGATGTCCTTTGTATCTGACTCAGGAAACCCGTGCCTTTTGCTAGCTTTGCTAAAACTGTGCAGGCTAACCTGTGAGTTTGGAAACAAGGTAAAACCTTAAAGCCTTCACAGCTCTTGGACCCACTGTATAGTGGAGGTTCTCTTGTGCTCTGGTCTGGAAAGAAGTTGGCATTTTTTGTTATTATCATTATTTCAGAAAGCTTAGACTTAAATGATGATGACAAAATGCCCTTGGAACCATTTCCAGGATGCTGGAGCCAAAAGTGAAAAAAAGAAAAGGAAATGGAGATATCAGACCTTAAAGAGCAATACATTAATTTAAACTTAGGAGTTGAAGACCCAAGTAGTAAAATACTATATATTAAAATTAGCTGACAAAGGAAAAGGCAGTAGTTCATAGAGGAAAGAAATAAATAATAAGCTCTTAAACTTAGTAAGAGTTGAAATAAATCGGGTTCATTTATCTTCTGTTATATATGTGATCTCTTCTCTTTGAACTTCACCCTTTTTCTCACTGGGCACTAGTTTCTCTCTTTGTGATCTGACATTCTTTGTAGGCTCACAGCCTCACCTCATTTGCAGGAATTGGATTGTCAGCAACAGATTTTAAGATGCCACAGGGTCAACAGACTTTCTTTGCCTATTTAGTTTATCTGTATTTCATTCGTTTTGATACGACCTTGGTTTCTGAACTACCAAAGAAAACAACAGGATGTGATGGCTAAAAAGAGAGATACACAGAGAGAGACAGAGAAAGACAGAATTCATCAAGTCTACAACTCTCACTGTAAAGATAAGGAAAGTAAGAGCTAGAGAAATTATATTATCCAAGCTCATGTTGCTGTATTTGAAACTCATTATGACAATCCAGTAATTTATATCATAGGGCTTTCTGAAATCAGGGAAAGAAAGACATCACTTTGATGTCTTTATTTAACAATATCACTGAAATATTTTTGCAAATTTTTTTTCTTCTAATATAGTCTTTAGACTGAAGTTGCTTACATTTGAGATATGGAAATTCTATTTAAGATCTTTGAGATTTCCAATGTTTTTGAAAGAGTTTTTGTTTATGAAATTATTTATTTTAACAATGAACACTGCAAAATGGTAAATTTCAAATATCAATAGTTCTTAAACTGTGCTAACTTTTAAAGGTTGATAAAACTGAGAAACTATGAGAAATTTTTTTTTACTTTTATTTTTTTATTTTTATTTTTTTCCATTTATTTTTGTTAGTTGGAGGCTAATTACTTTACAATATTGTAGTGGTTTTTGTCATACATTGACATGAATTAGCCATGGAGTTACATGTATTCCCCATCCCGATCCCCCCTCCCACCTCCCTCTCCACCCAATCCCTCTGGGTCTTCCCAGTGCACCAGGTCCGAGCACTTGTCTCACTCATCCCACCTGGGCTGGTGATCTGTTTCACCCTAGATAATATATATGTTTCGATGCTGTTCTCTTGAAACATCCCACACTCGCCTTCTCCCACAGAGTCCAAAAGTCTGTTCTATACATCTGTGTCTCTTTTTCTGTTTTGCATGTAGGGTTATCGTTACCATCTTAGGTTGCCACTGAGTTAAGAAGGAACAGTCCTATAAAACAATGCTAGATTATTGTTTGAATCAGCCCCACAATTACTCTCATATCCTAATCTCACTGAACCTTGACAATTTCAGGAGTTTTCTAATTCTCTTCTGGTCTACAATTTTCAGTACATCGCAGCATCTAATAATGATCTTCAAGGTCAGTTTCTTATCCCATTCACCATCCTACTTCCAAGATCACAAAATAAACCTATCACACATGCAGTAGTTTGCAGGACCGATACCTTGGCACCAATGACCATTAACACTACCAGGTCAAATGTCTTCCCTGGCCTCTCTTCCTTCCATTCTTTTTCTGTCAGTCTTTTGTTTGATGCTTCTGACTACATCTACTAACTATCTAACCTTAGATCAAAATAAAACCTATTCTATTTTTATTCTGCAGTAATACCTCCACTTTAACTTATCCAGTCAGTCCTCCTGGCTCAAGAACAACTAGCACTAGTGAACTAAGACATCAAGACACCAACAGCAATTTAGTTCTTAGTCCTCTCAAGGTCATTTTGGAGACTTAACTCACTTGAAAACAAGTAGGCATCCTCTTACAATATCTTTACTTTCTTAGGCCTTTAGATTCCTCCTTCAAATATTTGTTCTATCCTTACCAGTTATAACATTATTTTCCTCACAGAGAAGATAGAA